GGGGGGGCGCAGCTTTTTGTAACTCTTATCAGTCTCGTCTTAGAAGTGAATGTTTTGAACGACCATCGACACAGTTTTATAGAATTACTCCAAGCAAGCCACCCAGGCCAACCCAGGCTGAGTGGACTTCAGAATCCCAGCAGACAGACGGAGGGAACTCGATTAAAAAAACAACTAACAGGCACACAAACAAAAAACCTCAACTTTTTGACGTGGTGATCGAACTCATGTAGCTTTCCTGCAACGGCGAAGTGCTCGCTTTTACATGTATTGGAGTTTTACGGCACTTGGAGAACAAACAAATCATAACTTGGTGTGGGAGGTCAACCTTTCGATTTAAACAAAAAAAAAGAAAAAATCTTTCGCGAATGATGTTGTGGCGACTCAATATAAAATAAACAATAACAACACAAGGCCGAGGCTTATACGCATTAGAAAAAGTTAACAATTTTATTTTTACATATTGTCCAAAACTGGTTGGACTTAGCCTACGACTGTTGACACGTCGGCTTTACGTGAGAAGTACACAGTTACAGAATTTCATCCAATTATGAGAAACTAATCCTCAGGTTGACTGATTCGATAAAACATGTACCGGTACATGTATTATGAACAAGATAACAGGGGCGATGCAGGGTGCCACCATAATGATGACGTGAACATCCATCACATATCAAGGACACACAGAAAAGATCGAAAAGAAACATTTTACGCTCCAAACATCACAGTGTATGCTACATTATTTAGAAGGCAGCTGCTTCTATCCCATCTGTCAGGACCAACTAGGGCCGAGAGTGAAACAGCATCTGAGATGAATGACAGGAATGCATGATAAACCAGATTTCCCCTTCTAGGGAATCGAGCTCGTATCTTTCTCAAGCAACGACTTGCTGATGACACAACGCACAGTGGTACACACAAAATAGAAACATAACCCCCAAAAAACCGAAAGTACCATTGACGCAATTGATGGAATGCTTCTTAAGCAATGATCTTAGAATAAATTCTTTTCATATACTCTTTGTTTTACGTCTTACAGTATAGCCTAGCCGTTAGTCTCATCTGTTGTAGTCTACCCTCCA